AAAACATTTTTAGAACTGCTTCTTGGGTTCTGTTATTTCTAGTTTTTATGGGTACAAAAAACTAATCAGAAGAATTAGATTAATTTATTCATGATCAGTAAGCAATAGAGACCAAACTGAGTGTCACAATTATGATGTTAAAAAGAATACTATGCACTAATACAAGAAAAAATGTGGATGGGAAAATGATTTAATAATTTAAAGGCAAAATATGAATAAAATTTATCAGTAAAATGATTTTTTCATAATTTCCCCTTAAATTACATAATCAGGTTAGGATAACATTCCTCATAATGAAGTAATTTGTAATAGAAACCAGTCTCTTATATATGTAAAAGGAATTTTAGTGTATAAGAGATAAAATCATTGCTGGAAATATTAATTGAATGTTAACTTGTTCTTTATTCTTTGTAATTTCCAGTTGCTATTTTCAAAATGGCTAATATGTAGTATTTCCCCTAAACATTACAATTTATCATTTTTTTTATTTTTAAAAGTTGGCATACCGAGATTGCTTTTTATTTATTTATTTATTTTTAGCAGATTCAACCTTTTGCTACTTCAAAATGAAAAATGGTTCAGTTGTAAACAGCTGCTTCAAGGTAGAGGTTTATGAGATTTAAGAGCTTTTTTAACAGGACTAAAGAGAAACAAATATTCCAAATTATAATTGAAAAATATATAGAGATATCCCATCACTAGTATGTGTTTTATAATCCATATTCAGTTTTTTCTTCCTTGGAACTGTGGGGTAAATAAGCCATTCTTTGTGGATAACATGGTCTTAAATAATTAAATATATTTTTAGGGGTAAAAATCTTTGATTTGATTTGAGTATTTGTCTTATGGAATTAAGTTTTAAGATTGTGGGGTGCTCAGAAAGAAACATTTACAAAGTACACTAACCTCTTTACCAACAAGATACCTTATAAATGCACATTATGACACCATAAAAAATAGACATGCAAGTATGGTCATGTCTATTCTAAAAGTGGAAGTGGTGAATTACAGATTATAATTAGAATGAGAGACTAAATGATATTTAGGGCCATATGTAGGGCTTACTCTCTGAAATCCATGCCTGCCAAATGTTTATGGTCACATTTTTAATGTTTATTTGAATCCAGGGATCCAATCATTTTTTATAGCCAATCTTTAGGACCACCTGTCCCCAAGCTACAGTCAGCGTGCCATTAACTATTAATGTTTCCATGATCACTACTAACATCGATTCCTCTTATTGTATACTATTTCAGCATGCAATTATAGGAATATTAAAATTTTAAATTTAGGAATTTCTAATATATGCATAGAATGCTTTTTCAAAATCAGGTAGGTCTGTAGGGCACTCATAAATGTTTAGCAACCAGCTCTCTAGGGACAAAAAGACCTGACTTACAGCATTTGACAATTTCTGTGGTATAAATATTCCCACCATAGCCAATTTCAAGCTTCCAACATGATGACTTCACTGAATGTGGCATTGTTTTTCCAATATTTCCACCATACAGATATGATACATGTGAAGAACTTGAAAAGCATAGATAATAGTAAGATGTAGTAAAATAATTAGGAAGTGATGAGTTCTGAATATTTATTGCTATTGTTTTTAATATAATTTACTTAATTGTAAGTTTCTATAATTTAATTTTTATTGTTGGCTGTATTTTGAAACAGGCTTGCAAAGTTCCTAAATTTAACACTTGGCTTCCAGGAGCTGGTACAAGCCAGCTTCAGTACACCACTGGACTGTAAAATTATCATTGCTGATTTACAGACAAGGAAACTGGGGCTCAAAAGAGGGGAAGGAAATTAACACTTATTGACCACCTATTAGAGGCTATGCATGGTTTTAGACACTAAGTCATAACTCATATAACCCTCAAAAAGCTCAGTGAGACAAGAAGTATTATTCCAGTTTTACAGATGCAAAAATAGAATTTTCCAAATATCACAATGCTATTAAGTGACAAAATCAGAATTAGAACCCAGGTCCCTGGCCCTCAGGAATCTTGCTTTTGTTTATATTAATAAATAGCAATATCTCTTGTCCTCTAGTTTTCACATAAGCTTTGGTAAATACCAAAGGTGATCAGATCAGACATAGTAAGGCACAGCAATGGGCTGTGTGCCTTTCAAAACACTACTCTTTAGTGGTGAATATGGCTACTGACTTAAAAATTACAATATATAAACAGTGGGTAATTATTACTGTCAGTATTGATATGATTTCAGAAAAAAAGATATTGATTTTAAATCAAATCTTTTATATTTAAAAAGCTGAGCTAGGTCGGACACAGTGGCTCACACCTGTAATTCTAGCATTCTGGGAGGCCTAGGTGGGCGGGTCACTCAAGGTCAGGAGTTCAAAACCAGCATGAGCATGAAGGAAACCCCGTCTCTACTAAAAAATAGAAAGAAATTAGCCAAACAACTAAAAAAAATAGAAAAATTTAGCTGGGCATGGTGGCGCATGCCTGTAGTCCCAACTACTCAGGAGGATGAGGCAGCAGGATTGGTTGAGCCCAGGAGTTTGAGGTTGCTATGAGCTAGGCTGATGCCATGGCACTCTAGCCCAGGCAATACAGTGAGAATCTGTCTCAAAAAAAATAAAAATAAAAATAAAATGCTGAGCTAAAAATAAGACTAAGGAGAAAGAATGGAGAGATGTATATTACAGAGTTGATATCATCAGCATTCCCAATATAGTACAGTAGTTATAATATTGAATAGTAAAATACAATGATAGGTAGAGAATGTAAAGCTACAGCAATTATAATGGTTACTTTTTGAGAACTCAATACTGTTAGGACCATTGGCTCAGTACACAGATGAGATAGAAGAGACTGATGTTCAATAAAACAATGTCTAAGGTGAATCATTTATGCAGTATCAATAACTTGTTGATTTTTTTTATTGTATGTTGCTTTTAGTTGAACACCACCACCAACAAATCAACGTAAAACAAGCTAACCTCCATCACCTCTATAGATTCTTCTCAATCACTTTGAAGATAAATGTAATGTGATAGCATCATATAATGTTATACAAAAAAGGCCTAGTGCAAATGCTGCTGTAAGAGAATAAAGATGTTAAATAACAATAAGTTTCTAATTATAATCAAGGCACCTTGTAAGAACAATGAAAATCGACTGAAAAGTGAAAGATCCATCTTTTAGGAAGTCTCATTATAAGCACACCATTAATTCAAATTAATATTTTAAAATGATTTCCAAGCAGTATAAGGTTTGTGAAAAATTTATGTTAAAACATTATGGTATTCACAAATAATTTAATGCACATGTATATAATAAGTAGTCATACTTTATATATACACGTATTATACATATATGTATATGTTTTTTTAAATCAGGGACTGTGTATTTTACTTAGCATGATTAAGATAAAAAAAAAATCCAGAACCAGCAGGCTACAGATCTGTCTCTTTGTTTGGTCAGTAAGAACTGTACTCATTTCAAAACTGAAAAGTGCTTTAAATTCTGAACATTAGAGCTGTTTTGGTAATATAAATTATTGCACTTCTTTTATGATCTCCTGTCTTCTCTCTAAGTTATTGAACTTCTATCATAATGAAATTTCTCCCTACAAAATCGTATCACCAAAACTGACATTTGGAACACACATCGAATTTAAACAGATTTCCTTGTTTCCCCTCCATACTTTTCATGGAAGCCACAGGGAGAAGAATGGCCTTTGGAGTGATCCACGAGGTTTTTGTAAGTGGGAAGCTCCATGCTTTTCCCCAGGTCACCAGCAACTCTTTCACACGTTGCCACTAGCATTGCTGTCTCAGAAGGGTCTTGAAAGACTGGGTTTTGTCACTTGTCTTACCTCTCTGCCTGCTGACTTGAACCCTGACAATGGAAAGTGAGAGTGACAAATGGCAGTTACCTTCTATCCCAGAGAGCTCCCATAAGGACAAAGCCTGAGCATGGAGATGAACATCCCTCCATTACACACCCAACTTGAAGAAAACAGCCCAGGAAAACTAAAATTGTCTAATTAAATTATTTACAAGTAAATAAACTAGTTAAGGAAGGCACTCATGCCAAAAAGGATGTGAAAACACAGGAATGCAGAGTCAGATTTTACCCTATCAATGTATCTTAATGTGTTTCTAGAATCTTTATACATGGCATCTTTGTTTTGCTAAAAATTTGGGCTAATAGTATCCAATATGTAAACAACTTAGCTTATCGCTCTAATAGTGCTTTAATTGTTCTATATTGTGTAACTTATTATATGGCAGTCTCATTGCATGTCTTATCCAAGGGAAGTTTTTATTAGAAGTACAAGAAAATCTAATTAAGACACTTTAATAATTCAGTACAGTCCTCCAGTACCAGTCTGTGACACTGCACAGATTAGATGTATATCACATGACTTTTACAGTACCACCCCTTATCCCCTGGGGATATGTTCCAAGACCCTTGATGGATGCTCAAAACCTCAGATAGTACTGAAGCCTATATATACTATGGTTTTTTTTCCTATATGTTCATATATACCTATGATAGACTTTAACTTATGAATTAGGTACTGTAAAAGATTAACAATAAGTAACAATAAAAATAAAATAGTCATAACAATACACCAGCATCACTACACTTGGACTTTAGGGCCATTATTAAATAAAGCAAGCTTTAGTTGAATACAAGCACTGTGATACCAACAACAGTCAAGATGATAACTGACATGGCTACTAAGTGACTAACAGGTGGATGGTACACAAAGGGATGGATTCACATCTCGGGTGGGACAGAGCACGACAACACAGGATTTCATCAGGCTTCTCGGAATGACATACAATTTAAAACGTATGAATTATTTCTGGAATTTTCCATTTAATATTTTCAGCGTTGACCACAGGTAACTGGAACCTCGGCAGATGAAACTGCAGATGAGGGGGGACTACTGTATGATTATTGCACCTTGGTGTTACCATCTCTTCTCTTTTGGCTCAAGATTCAGAAATTTAGGACAGGACAGCCAAGGTATGAGTTATTGTCTGGTGATTCAGCCAAAAAACATCAAAGAACTTTCCTCCAAGATCCCTTGCCTTGCTCCATTATCTGTTCTCTGCATTATTCTTCACACTATTAAAATGTAATAGAAACCAGGGGAAAATTTATCTTTCTCTTGTTAAGTATGTCTTATATATTTGTCTGAGTGCATAAGCATTATAATTATAGACGCTTCCAAAGAACATAGAGATAAAAGGAGGCATCTAAATCAATGCCCAGAACACTGGAACCATTGTTACTTAGTATGAGACAGAGGAGCAGGTTATAGTTTTGAACATTTGTCTTAGGATTTAAAAGATGGAAGAAAAAACTCTTATGTTTTAGCAAATAAGAAGAGACAGCAGCAAATTGTTTTGAGAAGGAGACTGGTCTAGAAAAGCCAAGGGGGAAAGCCAAGAGCAGGACCTTGAACCAGACTACACAGGGTTCAAATCCCTACTCTAGCTCTTCTTGTTGTGTCTGTGTCACCGTGGGTGAGTTACTTAACTCTCTCTGTCTCAGTTTGATCATTTTTAAATGGGGATAATAGTACCTGCCCCATTAAACTTTATTATAATAAGATTAAATGAGTTGATATAGCTAATTTATTAAGTAAATAATAAATATTGTCTATTATTATACAATACCATATTTAAAATACTTCCTGTTTTGCCAATTGTATAGAAAACAGGAATATATAGTTTATATCAGACCAGTATTAGAATTAGTTAAATATTTGTTAATTAAATGAAGTAGATACACACTGAAATGATTGTGACATTCCATAGTTGTGATTAATAACAACATAGTGGTTTCTTAGATATTACATGTAATGCCTTGGTAGACATGTTGGAAGTAGAGGACTTTTATTAATTTCATTTGTAACTGAGATAAATTTGCCAAAATTTTATTTATTCCAGTTTAGTAAAAAACCACAGTTATGTATATTCACAAAGGCATGTGAAATATACCTCCATCTTGAAAAACTCTATGTGTGTTTTACCTTGAAGAATTTCTAGTATAAATTGTTTAGGACTTGTTTACACTCCATTGGTCTGAAGTTTGAGAGTAATACATTTAAGTAACCAAAAAAGTCACCATTAAAAATGCTCAATAAGATCTATAATGATAATAGCATTCTGTTTTCTAATTTTACATAAAAGAAATATCTCTGAAAAAATACTTAGCTCACTATAATAAAATTTCGCATTTTCTAGCACAGAGTAGGCAGGCATTTGATACATTTTTAAAAATAAATGAAAGTATATATAGAGAGATCAATTTAGGCCTGATCCCAGATTTAACATATATGTTACAATAGTTTAAAATGTCAATTTTAATTTAATATGCAGTGTTAATAGATGAACAGGGACAATACCAACAATTTATAAAATAGCATTAAGTCTCTTTTTTGAGAATTACATTAGACTTTAAGCTTCATGAGAGCAAAGACTTTCTCTCTTGTTCATAGTGTTCTCCTACCAAGTCCCCTGAACAATGAAAGCATATAGTAGGTGCACAATAAGTATATTTGTTGTCATTAATGCTGTTGAGTTGGACTAGAGAAAACAAGCCATTTGTCTTCATACCAAAAATAAAATATAAATCAGGAAGTAGGGAGAACAATACATTTGAGATCTGCTTTTGCTCTCTTTTCTCCTTCCTTTTCATGGGAATGTAGATTTATGAGAGGGCTCTGAATGCATTTAATGTAGACAGATTTTTTTTTAATTTCTGGCATTCTCTTGATTTTTGTATATTAGAGTTTTCAAAGTGTTTAAACCACTGTAAGATGTGTATGTTACCTATTAAAAATAGATAAGGTGAATACAAATTTTTTGGTTAAAAGATTTTCTTTTTTAAAAAAAACTTTTAGATCTATTTAAAAATTTAATAGATTTTATTTTTAGAGCAATTTTAGCTTCATAGCAAAATTGAGTGGAATGTTCAGAGATTTCCCACATACCCCCTGCCATGCGTAGCCTCCCCCACTATCAACGTCCCCTGCCAGAATGGAACATTTGTTACAACTCATGACCCTATCTTGACACATTGTTATCACCCAAAGTTCATAGTTTACAACATAATTCACTCTTTTTATTGTACATTCTGTGGGTTTGGACAAATGTATAATGACATGCATCCACTATTATAGTATTATACAGAATAATTGCATTGTCCTAAAAATCCTTTGAGCTCTGCCTATATATCCTTTCATCTCCCAATCCTTGACAACCACTTATCTTTTTACTAAGACTATTTTTACTTTATATTTAAGATGACTTATTCATCATTTGATTGGGTTATTTTTAAGATTTTGACTTGTTTCTTTTTGCTTCAGGAAAAGCCAGCATAATAACTGTCTTAGTTCATTTTGTGTTGCCATGACAGAATACCTGAGACTGGGTAATTTATAAAGAAAAGAGGTTTTGTTTTGTTTTGTTTTGTTTTATCTTATGGTTCTGCAGGCCAGAAAGTTCAAAGCCATGGCCCTGGCTTCTGCCTTCTGCTGAGGGCTTTCATGCTGCATCATAATATGGAGGAGAAGGACAAAGGGGAAATGGACACATTCAAAGAGAAAAAACCCACAAGGCATCCTGGCTTTATAATAACCCACTCTCAGGGGAACTGATCCATTCCCACAAGAACTAATCAAGTCTCATCACAGCTAGAAGTCACTCACTACCAGGAGAAAGGTCCCCAGCCATTCATGACCCAAACACATCCCACAAGGCCCCATCTGCCAACACTGGCACATTGGGGATCAAATTTCAATGTGAGTTTTGGTGAGGACAAACCACATCCAAACCATCATAATAACAACACATTAACAATAGCAACGGCACACCTAATGTTGACTGAATGATTGTAATATGTCAGGCACCATCCTGAGCACTTTATATATATTGACACATTTAGTTGTGAGAACAATTGTGCAACTAGGCACTAAAGTTATCTTCACATTATAGGTGAAGAAATAGGGAGAGAGAAATTAGGTGACTTGCTCAAGTTCATGCAACAAGCAAGTACTAAAGCCTAGCTGTGAGCCCAGGCAGTCTATCTTCAACCTTGATTTTATCTGATAAAATCAAAGCCTTTAAACTTTATAAATCATAGCATATGAATTATATATGAGTTATATACATAGTATAGAATTAGCACTCCAATTCAATTACGGTTTGTTCGAGGGCCACTTAAAAACAATTTTCCCTTGAGGAGGTTTAATCACAAATAATAACGTTCTACCAAGAATTCAGGAAAAAAATGTTATATTCTTTGGTTCTTGTGTCAGTAATGGAAATAGAAACCTCCAGAGATATTTTAAACAGAGGGCACTTAATACAGTGAGTTGGTTACAGAATGTTGGAAAGGCTGGGGATACAAAAAGAAGGTGGCGAAGTTACCTAGAATTTAGTGACTATATGAAGTCACCTCCACATAAGTCTGGGAGTAAAGGGGAAAAACGTTGTCACCCAGATCCCACACTCGCTGGAGCTAGGATTACTGTACTACCCACTGATACAGTGGGGCCACTGGGACCTCAATAGCTACTACTCTGCAGGAAGCCAGGAGTCCAGAAACCCACAGTCACCTGCTGCCACCACAGCTTCCTTTGGAACCAGATCCAAGGCTGTCAGAGTTGGCATTGCATCTGCTACCTCTAAAACCATGCTTCAAGAGCAAGAAGTCTGGAGCTCACACACATACACACACACACACACACACACACACACACACACCTGCTGCTGTTGCTACTGCCTGAGACACTGTCAGAAACAGAACAGGAAAAGAAAAGTAGATTACCCTTTTATGCCACCTAACATCTTCTACCAGTGTCCCCCATTGACAGGATGAACCTGCAGCCACCTGGAGGCTGAGGGAGGGAGTCTGAGAAATAGAGGTGGCAGAGTTCCAGCCCCCAGTGATGCAGAGAAGGTCAGAGCCAACAGGCAACTTTCTGTTTTAGCACTGATTTGTTTGTTTGTTTTAGAAACAACAGAAATCACTTAAAAGCAAACATATGTTGATGAACTTATTACTCACTAATAAAATAACAACCAAGGTTATTAGTTGTCAACAGTAGATCCTACCACAGTTAGTTTAAGCAGGAAAAGTCATTACATGGTATTGCGGATAGTCCACAGAGTCTCTGGGAGGGCTGGGGTGTCCATCTTGGAGGGTATAGAGCCAGGTAAAATACCTAGACTATGCTGCAGGGCTGCTCCAGCAAAGACCCCATTGCCCACTGCTCAGAAAGGAGCAGCCTTCCCTTATGAGTCTCCATTGAGTAAACTCTGTGAAGAATATGCTGGAACATGCCTCTGTTGGTGGTTTAGCAGCCCCCCTTCCCCAGGAAGAAGGTGAGGGGAAAAGGCCTCCCCCCATCCCTGCTCCTCCCAAGTTGGCCTCCTCCTTGAGGACACGGGCCTTTCCCACATCAGGGGGGACTGCCCAACCTCACCACACCCTGCACTACTGACACTGGGCATTAAACACCAGAACCTCCTTCATTGTTTAAAACCAAGTGCCTTCCACTGTCTATCCTCATCAGAAAATGGATTCTTCATGGTCCCTGCATTCTCTCACATTTTTATCACATGCCTATGTTCAAGGGAGGCAGGGTGGTGGTGGGAAGGAAGCAAATTTCTGGCTTCTACCATAAGAACATGACACTCATAATGTCTTTTAATCCTGGAGATAAGCCAGTGTTGGCAAACTACCTGACGTGATGACTATGTAGCCATTAACATTTGTTGAATACTTACTACATGCCAGCTACAATTCTAATCATTTTACAGATATTCATAGGACTCTATGAGCTGGCTGCTATTACTATTTCCATTTTGCAAATGGGAAAGCAGAACACAAAGGAATCTTTTTAATGAGCCCTTGTTCCCATAGCTACCAAGCGCCAGATCTAGGGTTTGAACTTAGGCTTCCTGGCTTCCAAGTCAGCTCTTAACCACTTGACCTGGTAAACGTTGAATAAGCAATAACTACTGTTCATCTCTTTTGCTGGCACTTAGGACATAAGGAGGGGAGAGGTCAGAGGATGTTGGGGAGGTCCTCAGAAGCCAGGTCATGCAGGAGCTTGGAGTCATGTTGAGGAATAAGGATTTCATCCTGCAGGTGAGTAGTTCCCAGACCCAGCATCACCTGAGCGGAAGCATTGGCAACAGAAGTCAGATCTGTGACCAAGTGACTTGGTAAGAATACAAACAGGGAGAAGAGAAGGAAACCAAATGTTGCCTTCTCTACACTATTGTTATTTTTTAGTTTTTAAACATTTTTTAAAATGAGTAGGAAGAAGAGTGCAGGAAGCTGGCTGAAAAGACTGGTCAGAGAGCTAAGAAGTGAAACAGGAAAGCATGTTATTCTAGAATCCAGGAAAGAGTATTTGAAGATGGTGGGAGTGGCCAGGAGCCTCAAATACTGCAAGGAGGTCAAGTGAGAGAATGAAAACTGGCCTTTACATTTAGAAACTTGGATATCATTGAAAGTATCTTAGCAGTAGTAATTTCAGAAGGATGTGGAGACAGGAAGCACAAACAACTTTTATAGGATGGGCAATTGAGAAGGAAAGGAGTAAGGGTAGTTTCTTTTTTAATATGGGGGAAACTTAAAAATGTTTACATGGTGCTGAGGGAAAGATCACATTGAGAAGAAATTGATGATATAGAAAAAAGAAGAGATAATTGATAGTAAGACCTTGAGTAATTGAGTGGAGATAAAATCCAAAGAACACATAAAGGGACCAGTCTTGGGTAGAAGTTTTTTTCCTGCAGAACATGATGCAAAGATGGCATAGTTATAAAGTCTGTCTCTGTGAGGAGTATGAGAGAGATCTTAACTAAAGGACACCATTTTTTCCCTGTGAAATATGAGGAAATATCATTTGCTGAGAGAGAAGAGTTTAGGGATGGGTTATGGTAGGGATGGGCTATAGGGATGAGAGAGTGTTGGAGGTTAGGAACATCCACTGAAAGGAATGGGAAAGACAGCCAACCAAAGAGTGGCTCAGTGTCCCAAGAAGCTCAGCATAGGTGAGAGGCAGTCTATTCTTAGCATGATTTTCTGCATTAGTCTTCAGGAATCTGGGCATAGGAGCCCAGAGGGCAACTGATAGATCTGAGAAAGGTCTTTAATTAGCAAGGCTGGAGCAGTGGCAGGGGAATTGATCGTGACGGGAAATTTGTTGAAGCAAAGTGCCATAAAGTCTAGACTAGATCAGAAGGAATTGGGACAGAGAGGTGGCTGGGGCTCGGGCAGGGGAGTGGATGATGACCTGTGGTCAGAGCATTGGAAACATTCATGCATTCAAAGATAAAATGTACCAGAACAATGGAGAGAGTTTTGGAAGAATGACGGCTGTGATCACAGTGGGGTATCCAAGCCGTTTCGGGTGATGGTGGCTTGGGGTATGACCATGGCAATGGATCAAAGGTAAAGGCTGCTGGAGAAGCTCAGAGTTGGGATGTCTCAGGAACATTTGGAGTTGTAAATTAAGAAACTAAGTTTACTTTTTAAGTGAAATTTTCACTTATCTAGAGTCATGAGAGTTTGTTTCTTTCCACAACTAGGCTGAACCAATGGTACAATTACTTTAGTCAATATCTCTTAGTCTAAACCTGTTAGGTGTTCTTTAATCAGCAATGTTGTGCAAAAATGTGCATGGTTGTTCTTCATAGTGCAGGCTAATTGGTCAAACAAATAAACCCAGATATGTATTCTGGCACAACCAAGATAGAAGAATATAGGCTATGTATGCTTCAGCCCAAGAATCAGGCAGATACTTGATTGGAGCTTTTAAATATTTTTTTTTTTTAAATAGAATGGGATTAAATGAAATATGGATAAATTATACTTGGCTGGTTTTTCTTCTACTTTTTTTTTGTAATTTCAGTTTCTGGCACGGAACCTCCAAAAGATGTTCATACTTAGAAATGCTTGCAGGATCACTCCATGGTATGCTACACACCTATCAAAAGCAGAAATGAGGGGATTTTGACTGTGGACAGACAACAAGGGATGGAAGCCTAAGGACAGGAGAGGACACTAACTGACTGAAATGAGAGTGGCAGCTGGTCCTTAAGATCCACAGCACCAAAGTGGAACACATTGTCTTCCTCTCAGAACAAATTCCTCCTCCTTCTCACATTCTCATTTCTGTTAATGGAATCCTGTTCTGTTAATCTTCTGATCTGCTGGACTGTACACTGGAAGTCATCATGTGCTTCTCACACCCTCCTAAGTCCTGCACACATAGTCATCAAGGACTCCTAGTTAATCCTCCATCCCATCTCTAGCTGCCTGACGAATGTCTTGCCAGGCTTATGACACTCTGCTGTAGGCAGTTACGGTGGGGGTGCAGTGGGGCCATTCTGCCTTAGCTGTCCTACCAGGTGGGTGGCTGTATGGGTTTCCTTGCAGATTGCTGGGATTGCCCTGGGAGTGCTTCTGTGAATTGGGTTATGAGACTCTACTCTTACAAGACTCTGCCTCTCCCCAACCCTGGAATAAAAAATTCTGTTCGATGCAATGCAATGCCACTACATGCCACTTTTAAAAGCAAAGCAGAAATAGAGGGCTTTGTTTAATAGATTCAAGGCTTACAGGAACTGTTAACAGTCCTCGTTTCTAAAAAGTATTTCACACACACACACACACACACACACAAAATATGTACATTTACATACACAAACTCTTTTTGAAATTTATCATTTACGATTGTCTTTAGTTATGTTGTGTAATCAAACCACAACACCAAAGAGGTACCCCTTAATTAGCAATGTTTCTTATGCAGAGATATTCATGCCTATACTACTTAAGGGAGGCTAACTAGTGAAACATATAAATCCTCAAATCTATAATGAAACAAATGATAGAAGGAAATTTCTTGCTCATATAAGTTCCAAAATGTGGTTTCCTCATTGACAGCTGGTTGTTTTCTAAGCAGTGATTTAGGAACCCAGGTTCTTTCCATTTGTGACTCTGCTGTCATCAACATGTGGCTTCAAAGGTCTGTGTCAAGCCAGTGAAAGGCAAATGAATATGATGGATGGATTGCACATGCAAGACTTTTCCAGGCCTGGAAGTGGCACATACGATTTTCACTTGCATTCTAAGAGCCAGAACTCAGTCAGATGGGAAATGTTATCTAACTGTGTGTTCAGGAAGAAGAGGACATGAGGATGGGGAGCAATTAGCAGTTTTTTTCTACAATGGTACAGCAATTGCATCACTGTGGAGAGTTTACAGGGCATCAAGGAACAACTAACTGCTCTTCGGTACCCAGCAAGGTAATGTAGGTACACAAGAGACTGTTGGTAGGGGACGAGGTCAGACCTGTAAATGAACAGGAAGCCAGTGATTACATTTAGGGGGAAATATCTAGAAATTCTAATAAAGTCTCCTCATTGTGTCAAATGTACTAAAAGAAATTTTCTTAAATGAACACACTCTTCAGTAATACAAAGTTGGCAAATTGACAGGCTGAGACGTGGGCAATAGCAGTTTGAACTAGTTGGAACTAGGCAAGAAGCCCAGACTAGAAAAGCAAAGCCCAGGCAAAAATCCAAGAATACCAGGGCAATACCATCCTGAAAAATCAGATAAGTGAATAGAAATCAAGAAGCCTTAGAAATTTTGGAGCAGAGTAAAATTAGAATCACAAAACCTAGATGTGAGACCTGACTCTTCCGTTTACAAGAGCCCACTTAACTTCTCTGAGTTTGTTTTTATCTGTATAGATTTGGGGTGATAATATCTATTTCACAATAATTGGAGAATCAAATGAGATGATGTGTGTGAAAACTCATGTAGCCTGGCAAATGGAGAAAGAGGGCTAATTTTAAATGTTTCTGTTTTCTTAAGCTTTGGGTTAAGGAAGGAATTGTGCTATTTAGGAAGGAGAGGATTTGAACCTGTTTTATGACAATAAGTCCTGAATCTGAAAGCAGAAGAAGGCGGTTGACAAGAACTACCTTGTGTAATCTTTATCTTTTGAACTAAAGAAAGTTTGCAGATTCAGTTTCCTGCATAAAAGCTCATTCTTCTTGCTTTCCTGCATGCCTGTCTTTCTCCCTCACTTCTCTTCTCTCTTTTCTTTCCTCCTTTTTCTTCCTTCCTACCTTCCATTCTTTCTTCCCTCCTTTATTTTTCTTCCTTTATTTGTTTCTCCATCTAGTTTCTTTGTTAGATGAGTGAGGAGGGTGTAAATAATTTCACATATGAAGATTCTAAACAGAGGCTTGCTAAGGTTGGGTTTTAAGGGTTGAATCAATAATGGAAGAGAAAATGCATTGCTCACAAATGTATTTAATGTAACTCTTTGGGGAAAAAATGGCAGTATGTACTATTAAGATGACAATTCCTTTGACCTTCATTAATTCATCAGGGTATCCACCCTAAGGAAATAATCAAAAAATTAAAAAAATCTTATGAACAAAGATGTTCATCATAGTTTTATTTATTGATAGTAAAAAATCTGAAACAGGCTAAATGCTTAAGGGTAGAAAAATGGTAAATTAAACTATGTTATAGTAGCACAACAAAATATGTAATTATTAAAAATAATTACATTCATGGGGCCTTTCAGCAAAATGGAGAGTATCATGCTAAAATAGCAAATAATATAAACATATTACAAGAGGATCAGAACCATTTCAAAATCGCAGGGAGGAAAAGTCCAGAAGGAAATTCATCCTAGTGGCGATGGGTGCTGTTCATGAGTGGAGGAGTATGAGTGTTTTTCTGTATTTTCTGTATTTTTGTAAGTTAGCTGTGTTATTTTTATATTTGAAAATATAAAGTCAGTTTTAGTTTCCGGGAAAGTCATTGATACTGACTTGTCTCATTTTAGCCTTGTGCTATTGCACAAAAAGCTGGTGGAATTAATAGCAAAACAAGTTCACTTTGTGCATCATAATGTAAATTACCCTTTTAAGAAGTGAATAGAAATGTCTATATGGATATATAGGTACCACATACACGGATGTAATAGGAGTTTTTAGCATAGTAATTCCACACTCACGAATCATAGTTTTGCTTTATAGGATTTAACTGACAAGTAGGAAATATAAATTGTTGGTGCAAAATTTTCAGTCCCTGTCACATGACAACACAGATTTCATGTCCTGACTCAAACATTTACATGTATCACAAGGACTCCATTAGAACCAGTCACAGAATTGGAGTGACCCTTTCCTTGAGATGTTTTGATGATTCTTCTTAACTCTAGCCACTGATATCCATGGAAGTTATGCCTTCTTTGTAGAAATATACTGATGGGCAGCAGTCCTCAACCTTTTTGGCACATGTTTCATGGAAGACATATTTTCCATGGATGGGCCTGGGGGATAGTTTCAGGATGATTCAAGCACATTACACTTATTGTGCAGTCAAACCTCTCTGCTAATGATAATCTGTATTTGCAGCTGCTCCTCAGCACTAGCGTCACTGCCCCAGCTCCACCTCAAATCATCAGGCATTAGATTCTCATACAAAGCACAAAACCTAGGTCCCTCCCATGTGCGGTATACAGTAGGGTTCAAGCTCCTATGAGAACCTAATGCTGCCACTGATCTGACAGGAGGCAGAGCTTATGCAGTGATGCAAGTGATGGGGGGTGGCTGTAAATACAGATGAAGCTTCGCTCACTCACCTGCTGCTCACCTCCTGCTGGGCAGCCCAGTTCCTAACAGGCCACGGACCTGTCCATGGTCTTGGGGTTGGGAACCACAGGTGATGGGGACTACAAGTGATGAAAATATTTAGATAATTACTTACAGACATTGACAAACCCTATCAAATGCCCATTACCCTATAGACATTCCTGGGAGTGGCTGGGTCCATTGCAACCCACAGTGGAGATGAAAGAAACTTAATGTGGCCTTGTTTAAAAGTCCATTTAATTAGAAAAATGATGTTTTAGACAGATGCTCTCAGAAGTTCCAAGGAAGACTTAAATGCATTAAGTAGTCATTGTTATTTGAGAGGAGATGAATAGATTATCAAGCAAACAGGTCATCAAGAGTTGGTCTAGAAATTCAAAAAGAACTGTTGACAATGTTCTGGAATAATCACATGGTATTACAAGATATTGCAAAAGGGATAGAGAAAGATGACCAAAGTAGAGCAAATATTATTTTCTTTATTCAACAAAAATAAAATTTTACAAACCATAAAATGGATATGGAGAGTTCCTACTTTAATATTTACAGCTTTATTTGGATTCATTGAAAGGTGCACCATCTCCTACAACCTAGTAAAATTGCATTCAATATTAAAATTACAGTACAGTAAACCATAAAGTTTACCCATGAGACTGAAAATGACAGATTTAGAATGGGTAAGGAAAATATACCACAGCTGACAGGGAAAATACATTACTTGAATTTGAATTTCCTGCCCATGCAAATGAAGGTGCAGCCTGAGTCCAGGAATCATCATGGTCTTTTTATGATAATAGGAATTTGTAGGTGTCTGGCTTCAGGTGAACCTGTCTGATATCCGGCATCAATATTAATCCAGACACAAAGCTGTATTTTATTTTCTTGCAGGGCTTTCATGATGAAATTGAAAATATTGATTTGTGATTACCTCACCATAGATCAATCCAAACACATAGATTTTTGTGCTTTGTTTTATTTAAAGGGCCTGGATTGAAGACTTCTGTTTGCTTTATATTAAAAGCCTCAGGTCAGTGTTTCTTAAATTTCAATGTACATAAGAATCCCTTGCAGCATCTATTAAAAATGCAGATTTGGAAACAAAGAAAACTAATTTTCATGAAGGAAATCAGAATAGGCGTTATCTTTGTAGGGATTGGCAGGGGCATGAAGGAACTTTCTAGAATACGTAAAATGCAATACTTTACTAAATGTTATTCCACACTTATAATTTTTAACCAAGAAACATAAAATTTAAAAATGTGGATTCTTGGGCCACGCCACAGGAAAAAAACGCCTTAAAGACTAGGCCTGTTGTAGTAAGATCTGGCTCGCTATTGGTTAGAATGAACTTGTTTATCACATATCAGGTGTAACAGAGAAAGGGAGACAGATTTTAATTTTGCTTTCTGCTTCTAATCATTGGAGAGCCTTCGCTCCACGCCTATTTTTTTTTTTTGAGACAGAGTCTCACTCTGTTGCCCTGGCTAGAGTGCCATGGCGTCAACCTAGCTCAGGCAACCTCAAATATCTGGGCTCAAGCAATCCTCCTGCCTCAGCCTCCGAAGCAGCTGGGACTATAGGCATGTGCCACCATGCCTGGCTAATTTTTTCTATATATTTTTAGGTGGCCAATTAATTTATTTCTATTTTTAGTAGAGATGGGGTCTCAATCTTGCTCAGGCTGGTTTCGAACTCCTGAACTTGAGTGATCCGCCTGCCTTGGCCTCCCAGAGTGCTAGGATTACAGGCATGCACCACCGTGGCCAGCCCACGCCTATTTTTATAGCAAGCAAAATCTCTGCTTCTGCTTTCCATAGTAATCTCAGAAACTGTCATCTTCTGAAGGCATCCAAATTAGTCAAATCTGGAAGGTTTTGTCTTTGTATAACTAAAGGACCAATAATGGGATTGAGTTATAATTCTTGGAAGTGCATGATTACTGTGCTTGGGAACTGGCCTTT